AAGTTCATTTATTGAGAACAAGTGTACAGTTCCAAAGCATTGCTAAGACTGAGCCTGAGCATGCCAAAAGTTGTTTTTCTTACTTACTTTTCCCTCCTTCATCCCCCTTACCTCCTGGTCTCCTGATTCCCTTGCTGGTACGACCTTGAGCATGCCAGTGCCTGTGATGAGGAGCCATCTGCTTCTAATGGTTTCCCATTCCTTCTCCCCCCCCCATTTTACAATGGCAGAACCACAGCGTGTAAAAAGCAATTGCTAAACTAGCCAACATAACAAGCTACTATTAAATCTTGCAAGGATTCTGACACTGATGTTGATTTTAATACATTTAAGTATTATAGGATATTGTAGTCTAAATCTGTTTTTCCAAATGCTGGCAATTTCCAGAATACTCAGCAGTGGCCACCTGAAAGTTAATATAGATCTGAAACACCAGTCTGGATTAATTACAAATCCAATATAAAGTGTATAAATGAATGAAAATAATAATAATAATAATTTGATGTGTGAAAGCTGGATGTTGCAGCTGAATTTAATAAATAATAATAATAAATATTATTATTATTTATTGAACTTGTATGCCACCCAACTCTCAACAATTCTAGGTGGCTCACAACAATCAAAACAACGAAATTACAGTAAAACCAATAAAAGGGAAAAAACAGATAAAAGAGTGAGACAGATTAAAAGAGCAAAAAAGCTAGAATATTTATAAACATATATATGAGTAATATGAATACCTTGTGTTATTCTGTTAATACATTCGTTGTGGCAAATCAGGCATATATATTGTTTTTTAAAAAATAATATATCACACATACAAAAAAAATTTTGTATACATTTTGACCTGTACATATAAATGTCTACATGAGGAGGCACCAGCTGACTAATTCTGACAAGATCATGAAAGATAAAGACATTTAAAGGATAACAAGGATCAGAATAATGAAAACAATGATCTTTCCACTTAGCAGTGTTGCTAATAGTGTGAAAAGAGCCACACAGGGAAGATTCATGCATTCAGTTATGTCAAAATGAAAGAGGACACATTGTGGCTTAATGTCAAATGTCAACCCAGCTACTACAGTTTGAAAACCATGGTCATATTTGAACCCAGTCATTATGATGTTGTCAAACAGTATTTTCAACAAGCCATGGCTTAGTGTAATGTGTGAATCCAGCACTTATTATTTGGGTCTCCAGTTATTTGGTTAAGTTTTCTGCTACTTGAAAGATGACAACCTTGACTTTAAATGAGTCCCCTAATAAAAAAAGACTTCGGTAGTCAGCAATAAATAATTAAGCAGAGACACAGCTGCAACATCCAGCTTTCGCACATCGAATTTAGGTTGCCAACTCTAGCTGAAATCCGTCTTGGTAAGTTCCCCCTCCAATAAATATGTGACATAACTCTATAGATGTGCATGTGATGCATATTCTAGCCAGATACTGCTCTCAAAAAAAGGGTCAGGAGCCAGACAAAAAATGAATTATATTGATTATAATTATTTGATTAAAATCAATTGCCTGTAAAATTACACAATCCATTTACAAAATTAATCAATATCTATCTGCATATATACAAGTAGTCCCCGGGTTAAGAATACCTGTAACTATGGGTTACAGACAACCCATAGTTAAGAATGGAGCCTAGTGTAGTAAAATTTGAGTTAAATACACAATGATTCAAGTTAAATACACAATGA